CGATGCGGATAAGGTGCCAACCTCGTTAAGGAACAGAACCAGACAAGGATTATTCATGGTGAGATATAAAACAAAAAAATTATTTATTAGGTATACAGGGTTTTAGATTTAACTTTTTACGTATCTCAAAAATGATGAAAAGTTAGACAAAAAAATTAAAAGAGTCTCTATAATGGGATTACTTCAAGATGAATTTAGTGTGATCATACTCAAGCCTATACAATTTTAAAGAAAGATAGTCGAATTTTTCAGTGATCTGATTTTATCACATTAAGAATCTGATTAGAGATTTATCTTTTTTAATTTTTCATCTAACTTTGATATTTTCTGAAATATCAGCGTTGATTTAAAGATTAATCGAATAGAAATCCATATCTTTCCAAAATTTTCAAAAATTTGTTTTAATCATAATATTAAAGAGTTCATTTTTTTAACAAAAAATAAACTCTTAATATCATAAGTCACTGAATTTGTCCTTTTAGGAATTATCATATTATACTATTTTTGTTGATTTTCATTTGAGAAATTCAATTATATTTTTAGTTAATTTTATAGGAGATTCCATCACATTTAAAACAGATTAAATAATAAGGACACGTCAAATCAAACACCCTGTACACCGAAATTATTTTTGTAATGTAATAATTGTATTTTACTTTTTCAGGATATATTTGGCTCGACAATTAGCAGCTTGTGCACATGGCAATTTTCTCATTTCGTTTTCACTACGCAAATTGTAGCCATTCTTATATTAAAATGGTTGAAGATCGTTCCGTATGAGTTCTATAAAAATTTTTGTATGGCGCATGCTTTAGCAATCGTAGCGTCGACTAAAATAACAAACGGGGCTCTTATAATTTGTTCATTCTACACGTGTATTCTAATCAGTAGTAATGCGGCCAATTTTATAATGAAATTGTCCCGATTTCAGAACATCAAACGAGAAATTATTTTTGAAATTGCTATAACAATAACCCTTACAAAGTCGATAAAATCCTACATTCTATATTCCCAAGATGACGCCCACGTATTTAATATATTGAAGTCCAAATTGACGAATTATAGAGATTTCCACACTATGCTTTACACGTGTTCCGCAGAATTCGATTTTCTGCAATACAAGACTTACGATGCGATTATTAAGACTTTATTACTGCCGACAGCGATACTCGTTGGAATGCTTATATTGTATTACTGGTATAGAAATTTTAAGACGAGCAATTATCCATTTTGCATTGAGGCTGATGTGGCATATAATGGCCTACAGACTGGCGCCTTTATAATCATGGCTGTTTTTATTATGAGATTAAAGCTGTTTATGACACCACATCTTTGCATAATAGCTGGTGCCGTGTGTAGCAAACGATATCTTGAAAAAATCGGCTTGAAAGGTGAACTCATGCGACTTGCTATTGTTGTGCTTTTACTGGGTGGCATGTCGTACCACGGCGTTGATAGATTTCAAGAGGAACGCGGATTTATAGGTAATTGTATTTAAATTAATTAGTATTTAAATTAATTTACTACTTTCTATAGCATTTCAATTACACGTATTTTTACACACAGGTGAATACAGTAATATCGAACAAGAAGAATTATTTGAATGGATAAAATATAATACACCGGATCACGCTGTATTTGCGGGGAAAATGTCGTTGATGGCGAATTTGATGCTCTCCACTAGAAGATCAATCGTTAACAATCCTTACTACGAGAGCAAAGAAATGAGGTATGATCTCTCTAGGAATTAATTCTAATCGGTATTCGCGGATTTAGTGACCCCGGATATTTCTTCAACATTACGTTGTAAAAAATATTTTTATGTCAAATGTTTTTCATAATCTTACATAATTTTAAGTTACAGTCTCTTATTCCTCAGATCTTTAAAATAAAAAAATGGTTTTAATATGTTAATTTGAAATAAAGATACATTAATTTAACAACGAATTCATTGCATTACATTAGATACTTAAAGCTACTGTACATAAAATTAATAAAATGTAAAAGCATATAAATATTTTACAAGATTAAATACTCAATAATAATAGTCACGTTATTTATTTAACAAATATGTATTATTTCATTGTCTAAACTGATTATATTACGCCACTGCATTTAGATATTTTATATAAAACAGTCTCTCTAAAGTATACTAATTTAGTAAGTATACGAGGTGTCCTATAACGATTAATTAATATAAATTAGCAAAAAAAAACTTTTAGTTCAAAATTTTATTCTCGTTCACTCCCTGAAATATTAATTAATCGTTATGAAACACCCTGTATAGTGCGAGTGATTGAATTTACCATAAAGTACATTGGACCTGCAAATTAATACTAAAAATGCCAACATTTTTTAACTCACTAAAAGAACTAAATAAATAAATTACTGCAAAAATAGAGAAAGTTAAAAAAATTAAATATTTTATCAATATAAAGGAATTATTGAAAAATTAAGAAATTTTAGAATCCTATTTTTAACACAAAAAAATATGATATATATAAAAAGAAACCGGTCAATAATCATCGCTCGGTACTTTTAGTGTTAAGAAAATTTCGAAACGAATACCGATTGATGTTACTATATAATAGAATTATATAGATTTATACATAAATATTTTATGATATTGTAGAGACAGAACTATGAAAGTTTATGAGATTTTTAGTCGAAAAGATGCTGCCTCTGTATTCACTTCTTTAAGAAGCATGAAAGTTAGTTACGTCGTATTAGAGGAACCATTGTGCCTTGGATTTGCAAACGTGTAAGTATGAAAGAAACATAAGTATGTAACATCGACAATTGCGTAACATCAAATTTTATTTCTTTAGGCCGCGAGGATGTCAAATGATCGATTTATGGGACGTAATTGATAATGGAACGGCGAAAATGGCGAACAAACCGCCTCTGTGTCCTCTTTTATTCAAAGGAAACGCACATCCATTTAGAAGAGCGTTTATTAATAATAATTTCGTCGTATTGCAATTGGATTACTCGCATTACGTAGAATTTAAACCAAAGACTTCTATGCCATTGCATTATCAGTTTTAGAGTTTTACGTTTAAAAAAAATAAGTTAAAATCTCCAGAAGATTGGAATACCTTGTGAGATTATAAAGCCTATTTTTCTTAACAAAAGTATTATCTTTATGGAAAAATATGTACATATATTTTTATAATATAAAAAGATTCACGCAAGTAAGTTAAATATTAGGTAACATTGTCAATTTGTAAAAGTTTATTAAGTATATATTTTACGTGCAATTTGTGAAGAGGTATTAAAATTATAAAAGACACACAATATTGTAAAGTTGGATTTATCTTCTATTTAGTAACAAAATTCAATTTTGTTTTTGCTCAGAGATCTTTTAAAATATTACATATTATTTCCTTCTTCAAAAATGATAAAATATCGTGTTTATCGAGTTATTACCATGAATTAAGTAAACATTATTTTGTCATTACCAAAAGTGAATTCAATTAACTTTACGAAAAAATCATCAAAATGATTACAACTAAAAAAAAAAGTAAGTTTTTTTAGAAATTTTGAAACAAAAATAACATTTGATTATGTTAAAAATCTATTTTTTGCCAATATTATTTGATTCAATCACTAATATTATGTCAAGTTGAAAAATAGTTTTTTCTCCTTTTCTGAAAAACTTAATTTTCTTACTGTATCACTTTTGAAGTAAAGGAACGATATAATGCAATGTGCAGAATATATTTGTAACATATTTATTAAATTTTATAATAACAAACGCAGTTGATGAAGTTGACTAGTAAGAACGAATGAAAATTAACCCTTATCGTACAAGGTCGGGTCATTAGTGACCGAGCAATTTCTGTTGTAAGTTTCTTTGAGTCTTTCGGTGATTATAAATTATACAATAATAATAAAGACATATGAGAGCAAAACGCGATAATTGGAGCGTATTCAATATATGTATATTATTCCTTACTAAATATAAAATTTGTTTTCTTCAATTACCGCGTTTTATTCTCATATTATTACTGTTTAATTTTGAGTCACACAGAAATATAATTTATTATAAATTATACTACATTTTATTATTTTCTCAAATAAAGTCTCCATATTTATTCTAGAAAGTTGAACGTATGTTGGTGAATTTTTAGAGATTTTCTGAATAGGTGAACAAAAACGGATGGATTCTAGTAACCCATGTTTGGACAGATGAGGCACCAACTTGTACCTTGTATTGTAAGAGTTAAGATAATGCTTTATTTCACAATGTGATGTACATACTTGTGATACCTAATTTCTCTATACTTAGCATTGTCTCGCATTTATCGATGTACTCGATTTTTAACGACGCGAATATTCTTAAATATATAAGTGTTATGTTTAATCAATTTATGTGTTATTTGTGTTTATTCATCCGTTATATAACAAAGAGAGAGTGAGACATTTGTGCCAACATCGAATACTATTTATATTTGTATAATTATCATAAATCACATCTCTTACGTTTGAACGTTTCTTATCGATTAACGAGCATTTCATAATACATATACTGAACAATAATTCTTTATAATATCGACGTTAATATCGATTGCGCCTATTAAGATCGCACATTACTCAATCGTAATATGATCATAAATGTTATCGTAAATGTAATGATGAGATTATAAATAAAAGAAACAATATGCAAAAAAAAAAAAAATTGTACAAGAAGACAGGCATCTTTTTCTCTGTTTATAAAAATGGAAAAGAAAATTTTTATTATATTTTAAAATTTTGATAAACTCTGAAAAATACGCAGCTAAAAAGATTTACATTTTGAATATCTTTCGCAAGTGAATGATCTGAAAAAAAATGTGCGCACGGAATGCCCGGAAGAAAAATCGAAGCGCACGAGCGGCGAAGATAGCTCCGTTATAACGCACATAGCATAGCACCTTCACTCCGTATAGTCGTAACAGATAGTATAGTCGAGAGGCAGTCTTTGGTATACTACGTTGTGCTGCTGACCCAAATGAATCCTGGCCGCCAGTCAGTCCCGCTCCAGGCTTCTTCGCGGCAATATTGGTCCGCTCGGACGCATTCTCGATCGTGTTCAAATATTAAATGCCGTTCCATTAATTGTCAATTTTTGTTTAATACACACAGATCTAAATACACGAGTGTCAAAATTCTTTTTTGCAAATATCGTGATACTTCTCATCTCTCCTTTCATCATCATATCTAGCTATAAAGTGATTACTTCTCAAAAAAAAAAAAAAAAAACCAACAGCAGTGTTAATTATTAATAATTTAACTTTGTTTAATCGATAAGTTAGATTTGAACATTTTAGTTTTTTTTTCTTTCAAGTTTAATCGTTCGTGCACTGAATACTGATGCACCATTTCGTTCCCAGTGCGGTTCAGCCGATTGATCGGTTGGTCCAGAAATCGACGAAAACAAATTTCTCGTGACTGGTGTACCGTGCGTGTTAAAACGGTGCCCCTTCATCCGCGAGTGAAGGTACTCCGGGTTTACGACTACAGCTGCCACTCGTCGAAGTTAAAGGCACGGAAACACGCGAGTTGATCTGAAAATATACATCGTGGATAGTGGATCAAGAAGAAGGAGTGGCATTTTCGTGCACGATGCAAGAGAGCTGATGCCAAAGCGAAGAAATCGCTGGATATCACCGGGAGGATCCAGACATCTGTCTGGAGCACGCGCATTTTGCAGGCTCATCCTAGCGATGCGACATTCCACGCTGGTTCCGCGTAATCATTGACAATTGGCAGTAAGCAAATTGAAAACAAATAGTAGACAGCGAATAGTAATAGAGAAAGTATGAAAGTCTGAACCCAAAACTGCCTTATAATTCATGCATTCCAGCTATACAAATACAAATCACGCAGAATTATTGTCACATTTACGTATTATTTTTATATATTGACGTCTCGCTGTATGAATAATTTGTATTTGTATTTTTACTAAATTAGAGATTGTTTAGCAATCGAAAACCTGCGAAGCTCGGCAGTCCTTTAGTTTTAATTTGAATACAAATTATGTGAAATATTATGTTGAATACAGATTATATTATTACATTATTTGACATTCTACTATTTATAGTTTTTGTCAAATTACACTTCCAGGACCACTTCCACACCACACGATAAGAAAAGAGATTGTCCGAATGTAATTTAATTTGTTCGGTTTTATTTCTAATTTTGAACTATTTGACTTGGGCCTGGCGGAACGCGTCAAGGACGTGTCTTCCTCGCGTCCTTGCGTCGGCTTATGGACGGTGCATTAATTCGCTCAATGAGCGTAACAATGTAAATGCAGTCCTCAATCAGATAGACCGCCCAAGATCGCTGAAGTACTGCAATTTCACGGTAATATATCCGCTCCACCTTCGCGAAATATTATATCCGCGATTGTTACACGGTACGGATTTTGAATATGTAGCGCGTGCATTTCTATACATGCCGCAGATGCGCAATTTTGTAAACACGTAATCCGGAATTTGCATCGGCATTTCCAACCTGCGTAACGTGGACTTGTTTCCTTGCACAACGCACGTACGCAGCTTCGCATAATTTGCGTCTCACGAGTTAAACAGGAGTTCGTTAAACATCGAATCTCTAATCAGCCGCGTCATTAGCGGCGTCAATAGCGAACGCGTAATCGCCCCGCAAAACGGAACGAAGAATAACTGTATGCGGGAGAATAATAATAGAGTACGTTTGCATTCTTCGTGCTGTTCCTTGTATTGTAAATCGACTCGTAACTCTATATCGAGCATCGGCAACGGAACCCTTCACAATCCGCATAAAACCCGTTCCTCTTTGGCCTCGAAACCGTACGGATGACTTGACCGGGTTGGGTTTAGGAATTTGGCACGTGCCGAGTGTAGTAGAAACATTTCTTCCACGCGAACGGTTGACAAAGAAGTAAGAAGAAAATAGAGAAATATAAATTAAAAAAGCAGTATCGGGAAACTCTATCTAGAAATAAAATATTTTTTAATTCATTAAAGAAAAAAAAATAGAGGAAATTATTGAAATCTATGACAATCGATATTTATTTTTGCACTATTTTTAAATTTATAAGTTTATGTAGAAACTTAATTTATATATTTATTTATAAGTATACTTATAAATAATACAAAAATAAAATCGATTGCCATAGACTTTAATACTTCCTTCTATTTTTTCTTTAATAAATTTAAAAATAGCTTTATCTTTAAACAAGGTGATTTGTGATGCTGTTTTTTTTTTTTTACATATTTACTGCAAACAATTTTATTTTTTAATCGCAAAAAATCTATTTTGCGCGCAGTCATGTGTTTGAAATAAATTTTTGATCTTATTCTAGTGAATGTACACGTCTAATCATGGTGAGACAGATCGACGGTGTTGGTTACTTTCTCAAAGCACGATCGTATTCGTAACCTACTTTGAACGCAGCGATGCAGTAACCGGGCGCAAACAGCAGACGTTCGTGCCAAGATTGGAATTAGAAAGATTTGAATCATCTCAGCTAACAAGATTTTGCATTTTCTTTTCATTACTTTTGTCCTATAAATGGATTAAGAAAATTGACAAAATTCATTTTGTAAAATTTTCTAATTTTCCATTTTAAGAATTAATCTGAGAACATGTCATCTGAAATAAATAGAAAAACATTTTTAATAGAGACACTTAATCTTTACTAAAATGTTAAAGTTTTTAAAACAGCCAGTTAAAGAGTTTAAACAGTAGTTTTATACTCTGCGAAGTACTTATATAAAAATATTATTACTCTTGAAAAAATTCTCAGTGGGAAACTTTTGAATTGCTCAAGCTCTTATCTAGAAAGTCAAAACGAATGCAAAGATACTTACGAAAACTCGTTTCCTTGCGTTAAGTGAAGTTTCTAATCTCTGGTGAAATAAAATATTTTCCAGAAGGATTTATCTCTTCTGATACGCTTGTTTTTCTTGCTTACTCGAAGGGTGGTCTCGACATTTCGTTAGACAACCGTGAAACATAATCCCAAGGTAGAGGTCGTCAGGCATCCGCCAGCATTCTTTTCGAATCAATTCTTGAGAATGAGTGAGTGAGTGAGTGAGTGAGTGAGAGACAGAGAGAGATAGAGAGAGATCAAGTGAGAAGCAAACTATAATAGAGAAAGGAAGAGACACGAGAGTAGTAGGTGGTCTATCGTAAAAGTTTCACATGACCGAGTTAGAGCTCGAGTCTACTCGGCGACAATGACTATGATAAGAGGGATCATTTTTACGTGGGCGCCGCGTTGTACATACGTCGCACGTCCCAGTACGTTTTAATTGAACGAAGGCCATAATCATAAACGTAATTTCGTCGTTCGTCCGTTTCGCGTAATACACACATACGCTCACACATGAGCACGACGATCGTCGCCATTTGTGCGCACTCGTGCTATTGCAAGCATTGAAATCACGGCGTTCACCGGCATTCAACCGCTCTTCCGCATCAAACGTGCTCGAATACCTCAAGAGGCATTGCTCTAATCTTTGAAAATTTGCTGACTATTTAAAGATAGATTTTTCTTTGAAAATTTTCAAATAAAATTAACAAACTTTGCCAAAAGAACTTTGTACCGTTGAATATTAAAAAAATGTATATGTTAAGGTTTTTAGAAATTAAATTTTAGCGTAATAAAATTATAACGTAACAGCAATAAAGTAGAAGCTGATTGAAAGACTGATAGAAATGAACGCGTTAAGTTAAAGTTGCTTAATCAATTATTATGTATATAGAAAGTATAATGTTTAAGCTATATTATTCAGTAACAGGTATTAAAATTACTATAGCAATAATAAAGATACAATGGTGTTCAGAAAACTCTTTGCGTTTATTTATATACAATGTTTTAATTAAATTTCTTGAGGCAACTATCGACAATAGCTATTTTATATAAATGGAAAGTTATCTTGCGCTTGTCTATACACTTCGATTATTTAACCAATCGGTTTCTAAACCTTTCGTCGGTTTCATTCCCTATTTATCGTCATCGACATGACGCTCGGATAAATACATAGACAAAAAATGATTAAGCTAGTCGTAACCACGATTTATATATTGTATATAGCTAGTTTATTAGTAATACACTGTCCCACATCCGCACAATGCATCCAACAGTAAATGCTACTGCGCTATCTTTCCTCTCTCTTTCGAAAAAGAAAGAAAAGAAAGAAAAATATTTAAAAATTCTTTTTAAAGAATTTTTAAATATTTTAATTTTAATGCTAATGTGTTACAACAATATAAGTTGTAATGTATCTCATTCAATATTCTAGCAAAAAATTTAATTTTGCATATCGTAATAATTTATATAAAGTAATACTAAATCCGCTCTTAAATCAAATTGAATATCGAATTCTAGTCTTTACATGGGAAAAACAATTTTTACTGAAATATTTAAAAATCTAGATAGATACAGATCTAAAAATAATTTTATTGGACCGTCAAAATAATTATTTGAGAAAGTCAAAGTAATTAGGTACCTAATGATGAGCAATGCTACAAAATGTTTTAACATGCTAGTAATCAATTTGAACGTCCTTATACATAATTATTTTTACAGTCTAATAAAATTATTTTCATATCTGTATCTAGTTAATCTTTACATGTCTTTCAAAAATGTCTCGTCCATGTACGTTATAGAAGTTAAATGTACGAAAAAACACGGGTCTCAGTTGCATTGTGTAACAGTGAATTCTGGAACCGTGCAGGAGCTTCTCCGGATCATTCTTCTCTGCGGCGATGTTATCAAAGAAACTGGTCCGAGGCCCGGCTTCACCGAAACAAGGTCTGACGCCCGTGCCGATCAGCAGAATAGCATCATCCCCTTTGACGATTCAGGTTCACCTCCACAAGTTATTTTTCTGACCTTGATCGCGCTTCTGCACCTCTCGACATTCCAATCTAATCGAGGAGATACGCTTCTCGCTGACAAGTCAGACCCTGTAAATCTATATTCATATATGCGTGGAATGCATTCCGACCGACGCACCTTGATGCATAATATTCACCTTTAACCCCTACTACTATGTAGAAATGTACAAAATTATTAAATAAACTTGATGCTCATTTCATGCCTAATAAATTATATTTTTCATGGAAAGTATGAATTTTAAAAAATTTTTTATGAGTTACAAAACTTGCAAATTATACTGAGATTGCTAAGATAAAACTTTAATTATAGCATATATAAAATATATTACATATAGATTAATTATATATAGATCTAATTATAATAATATAATTATAATAATATAATTGTATATAAATGATGTGATATATAAAATTCGATTAAATTTATATATAATTTAATTATTATGATTATTATTATCAAATTATATAGTTATAATTATTGTTATTAAATCTATATGTAAATAAGAATAATATCTTATAAAATTTGTATTAGAATTTTATATGAAATATGAAATTCTGTAAAAGAAATTGCATTATACATACATATAAAATAAGTGAACTTTCAAAAAAATCCGTTATTGTTATTTTATAGTCACATAATTGTATTACGTATAAATAATCCTTTTTCTTCACAACTGCAGTTTCATTCAATTAATTAGGTATAATTTTATTTCTCATATAAATAATGTAAATTCAAACTTCTCTAAGAGTCTATTTTGAAACTGTTTGAAATTAAATTGCCATTTGCTTTAAAATGACGATTTCATTTCAAACGGTATAAAATAGACTCTTAGAGAAAATAGTTAAAGGACAAAGTACAATACAAAGAAGACACTTTAAAAGCAGTACGGATTGCGGAAGTAGAATTGACTTCCTACTAATGCACCAAACATGTCTCACTCACAGAAGAATTTCAGCCTGGCTGAATAACGGTTACAGCAAGCAAATCGCGTAAACCATCTTCGACTCATGTTTCTAATTTTACCGTATGTTTAAAGAACGAATAATCAGGTCGACTTTTATAGTAGCTCGTACTGGTATAAAAACTCAGTGCCGACAGTTCTTTGCGTAATTCGTCGTGTCTTCTTTCGCAAAGTGTTGTAGGCGAAACTTTAATGCAAATTTTCCTCTCAGAAATACTCAGAATAGTCAGTATCTTTCATGCAAAAGTATAGTAACAAACAAGGACGAGTCAATTATACAAGCTGAGTATAATAACGATGCGAGATTGTCGGTCCAGTTTCCTCATTGGCGACATTGTTATCACTCGCGGGAAAATTAACCTGGTTTCTTCTGCTTGCGCAACCGGTTTAACATACCGATAGCCATGATTCTATTTCAATACACTGTTTTGACACAAAATTAATAAAATATAATATTTTAGAATATTATATTTATTTACGATTAGTAAAAAAAAACAGAAATAATTTCTGCTAAATAAAATTTTCGAATACTTTAAATATTTTTTAATATTTAAAAATTTTTTTAAATAAATTGTTTAAAATTGAAAATATGTTTTTATAAAATATTAAAATTATTAAATGTTTAATAACAGTAATTAAGTAACAATTTGTTATTATTTATTTAAATTTACATTTTTTGCTTTTCTAGAATGTTAATTCTGTAATAGATAAATCTATGCTTTAAATAAATATTTTTCTTTTTCTTTCTCTTTTTCTCTTGATTTATACGTATATCAAACTTAATTTTTGTAAATTATGAAAACATTAATATTAAGCTTATACGAGATTGATTACGAAACAGTATGAATGATTATTGCTGTCTGCCGTGTCTGAAAATTACTTACTTGAAATTCAAATACTGAAATACATTTTTCCATTAACATTTTAGATTATTTTTATAAGGTGGTTAAGACTACTGTCGATTATCCAATTTATCAGAGAAAAATACACGCTCCTGCTTATCGAGCAAAAAAATTTATGTGTCAGCCAAGCGGAAACTGTTTATTCATGTTTGCACGTGAAAGTGCGCGTACACATTGTAAAAAGGAAAAAGAAGAATACGCGACTCACAAGCATTCGGAAATATGTACATTAGAGGATCAAAGATACATATCATATTTCCTTAAGCAGAAAATTCGATGCGTTTTTGATAAGCATATTCGCGTGAAAGTTATACAATTACCCACTCACCATATTTGCCAACGTTTTATGGGAAACTAATGGCATTTCCTCGTATGGATATAAAATTGTAGTGAAAAAAAAAAAAGAAATGAGAAGGACCTTTTTATGGTCATAATAATATAACACGTTGGATAATTTTTATTACTATTTTTATTATGATATTTCTAACACCATTTACAATGTAATAAATTTTTGTCATGATAATCATAAAACGCAATTATATGCGGTGTGAAGAGAACTTCGATGTAACATTCGAGTTAGATTTAGAAGGTGCCGCGAAAAATGAATGCGCCGTTACGCGATCGGATGTGTCTTCCTCTTCCTACGTCCGCATCTCACGAATGATTCCGGTAACGGGAAAGGGCCCGACGTCGACGACACACGATGGGACATTCCTCGCGATTCAGACGAAGAGGAAATTCGCTACTGAGCACAGGCACAAGAGTCGACTTGAACGATAAATTAGACCGCGACGCTGGCACTGCGCGGAATAGAAAGTTACCTCGGCGGTGCAGTGTGAGAAGCGTCGAGCAAAGAGAGATGGTAAACGTGCTCTGACTTTGTACAAAAAAAGAAGAAATAAGGAAAAGAGTAGAGAAACAGATTTTATTATACCTGGCCATAAAAAAAATAATCAAGCGAACATTTACATGTTTTCCTAAAAATGTTTACGTGTATAATAATTGAATAATAACAGTCTTTTAATTAATTAAAGATCACAATTGTGATAACAACTTTTGAGATAAAACTCAGATAATTATGTGTATTTTTTTTTTTCTGAAAATAATATATTATAGTAATATATCTCTCTTTATATGAGCTCGTGAAAATATCAGCTCCACATAAAATAGATTTCAGTAGTTAGGAGAAAAAGAGAGAGTCACTGAGGAATGAGGATAGGGAAAGGAGATACGTTGTGTGAAAATGTCGCATCCCCTCCGCGCCATCCACCGTGACATTTGTACAATACTGTTGCCTTCATCATCGCGTTAATAATTTAACTGTAACCAACACTGCCGTTGATTAACAATAATTCGCCGCTCTTCCACGTGCGGGAATATAATTCGACACGGCGCGTTAATTGCCACGACTCAGGCTTTCATCGAGATTAGGATATTACTACTCTCACCGGGAATAGTCCCGCCTCATTCCGCGGTGGAGGACGAATGCGAGAGAAATTCCAGACGAATCGTTCTGCCTCCATTGGTCGCACATATAACAATACTTGCTGTGGAAATGCTTATACTTGAATAGCATAATAGATATTATTGTTCAAAAAGGAGTGTCGAGAAATTTAATGCAATGATAATTAAATTTAACACAATGACAGATTTATTTGTGTGTCACCACCACAAAATCGTGTAGGATACAATTATTCATGAGTTGCGGTATAATTAATCATTAAGTGAATAAACGTTGACAGCCTTTATTCTTCCTTCGCAGAGATGCGAAGCGAGGTGGGCGAATGGCTGGCTACGTGCGTAGGCTCGCCAATATGCATCCTGCTGCTGTCATGGTCCCTATTGATCTACCAGAATCAATCCTCATCCACGAAAAGAAAAATCGACGTGCTGACAGTCGCGATTCTTTCTCAAAGTCTCACACATCAATTAGGGTTACTGCTGTACGCGATTCTCACGTTGATCCGTCCAGCGAATCATTTTGGAGGTAACTATACAATTGTCTTACAAACTTACTGTTTTTCAAACAAAAACATTTCAAATACATGCCCAGCCCTGACTGTAATTGTATTGCTTTACTAGTCTTTTGCTTCAACAGCTCGGACAAAATGCAACAATGTATCGCTTTCTTACTTTACAAATAATACATTAAAAAACGTATAATTTTTGAATTATTATCATAAATTATAATTAAAATAAACGTTACCTTATCAATCATTAAAAGTGAACTTAACTTCATTAAAAATCGCCAGAATTTTACACTTTTATTCAAACTCAATTTTTATTAAATATAAGAGTTTTAAGTTAAAAACTATTTAGTAATGTAATAGAGATCTTGAGAAGTAACCTGAATTTTTTTAATAGTCAAGAACATCAAAAAATTTGAGCTGGTCAAAAAAGATTCAAGTAGACGAAAGAGGTAAAAATATGATTGCAGAGAGAACTTTTAATTTTTGTAGTTGTGCCGCTTTTGAAGTAAGGGAGCAATACATCTTAAACATATCAAATAAAATAGTAACATTTTATCATAATTACATTGTAAAAAATAAAATGTTAATTTTAATTTATAGTCGTATAGTGGATTTTTTCTGAGACATGTAAAAATGTTAAAATTGACACAAAAATATTAATTTTAACATTTTTGCATGTCTCACTATACGTGTTTAAGTTAAAATTAACATTTTATTTTTTACAGTGTATTATATACAATATCGAATTTGATATTTTTGTTTAGTTATAATCTCTGTATAATAACGCCGAGGTCATTATCCTTTTCGGAATTCATGGAAGCGCCAAGCAATTCCCAACGATTATATCATGTAAATTAATTCAACGGAACAAATTGGCCTGGGGGTCCAAAAAATATTCATTTCAATCGAGCCACGCGACTCTTTAAATTGCGAGACTCTTTAAACAATGATTCTTTGTCGCAGAGTTATGCTCAACATTGGTATGGGTCCTGAACTCGTCGAGTATTCTCCAGGAACTGACCTTGACGTCGATCGCAGTGTTCGCGGCGATCAGCAGTCGCGATGATGTTATCAATCTCACGAAGAATCATCTCAAATACCATTTGGTGAGCCTGAGCGTCATCAGCGCCTGCATTGGTGTCACCGGCGTCCTCAACTTCGAGCCGGAGGTCTGCGTCTTCCTGGCCCACGAGATCTCCCATAAATATGGAGTCTTCGTCAACTCCCTCAGGGGTCTTTTGGCCCTTACGTCTTTTTTCGGCGTGTTGGTTGCGATCTTTAAAAATCTTTGTCGTCCACCGACTTCTGAACTGCTCAAGTCGGTTTCCGATCTGTCCGAGGCGAGCTCGAAGAACTCTTCAGGAGCATTCGAGTGTCACCCACAGCATTGGGATCCCTCAAGCGGATCGTGCACCAGTGGTTCGACGAACAGCAGGGCGTGTTTAAGAAAGAAGAAAGTACAGGTGGACGAGACCAGCGGCAGATCTACCGTTTACAGCATACTCTTTGTCTGCTACGTCTTTGAACATTTACCCATCCTGGTAATTATATCTTTAATTCTTACTTGTTACATTTATTTTCTTTATTGTTTTATTTAATTTTAATTAAATATTATTTTAATTTTTGTTATCATATCTTTATTTTTTAATGAGGTTTATAATGGATCTAACAGACATAATTGTAGCATATCGTAACGTATAGGACTGATTATCGCTCTATTTAATTGACGATAAATTAAACATGATTAATATACGTATAATTTAGCACGCTTCTTTTAATAAACACTCTTGTTAGTAACTGAATACTTTCAAAAAAATAAGAACAAAAAATTAGAAAGTTAATTATTATTTACAAAATGTCACGAAATTTTTTTCATATTTTTTCTTTAACACATTATTTGTTTAATAATACACAATACTAATAGTTTACAATTTAAAGTTTATTAGTTCTAAGAGATTTTTCTTAAAGAAAATTTTACTATAAATTTGTCAATGATTAGAAAGAAACACCCTATATATAAACGGCAAAGCAGTCACTTATTTTTTTTCTACAAGTTGAAAGTTAATACGACGAAACAGGAAATTCGTTTGCGGAAAATCGTTTTGATCGTTAGCATAATCTTGTTACGTTAAAAGTATTTTACTGCAAAATTCATTTCTAATTTATGTAAAAGTGTAAGAACCTAATGCTATCGAGATTGACAGGTTTTTCCATATCGTTAGTTTAATTAATTATTACTTTCGAATTGAAACTCTAACGAACCGGTAACGCTAATTGTTGACTCGTAGTTAAGATATATCAAAGATACCTGGAAAGGATATATGATTTATTAAGTCACGATCATGGCTAGTCCATACGTTCTTTTTTTCTCGACAATGAAACCATTTTTTGCACGAGCATCTCGATTGTATAAAAGCGGCATTTCGCAATATCCTCGAAATTGCGCGTGCTAAGTCGACCGTTACATGTTACATAGTTAAAAGTGGCCGACCTAATTTATGGCACGCCCTCGATTATGCTTCTAAATAGCGAAAAATATAGGATATTCTGCAAGATTTTTAAACTGCAGTCTGTCATTTACATGACATACAATAAATTTCGAGCAACGTAGAATTATTTATTAGTCACACCGTGTGCTTAGTGTTCAAGGAAACTTTAAATCCTTTCTCCTTTTGTAGATACAATTCAGATTCCTTTCTGATAAGAAAAAAATAATAATTCAAAAAATAAATGTAATTACAAAAATTCTGTTATATCTTCTGAAATATCACATTGCTGCATTAATTAAAAAAGACATATCTCGAAATTAGCTTTTTTTTTTAATAAACAGATATTTTTACAATTCTAAATTAGAAGTATTAAGATAGTGAATATGCAATTTCTATAATTTCACTTTCTCTTCATGTTATACTTTCAACTGTATAATGTATTCTTTAAAACTATGTCATGTATTTTCAAAATTTAAGCAATCCTACACTGAGAAAAAAATTTATTCAATGAATTTAACACCTTTAGTTGTTTACAGATTTGATTAATTCAACAAATTTTATTTAATCGAATTTAACCATAGTCTGCTTAACAAACTGTTCAATATTTTGAGCAGACTAGATTAAATTCAATTAAATAATATTTATTGAATTAATTAAATCTGCAAACAACTAAATATGTTTAATTAGTTTAACAAATTTTTCTTCTCAGTGTAATATATGTAGTATAAATTCCATCCCTTACCAGAATTGTCGATTTCTCTTTTATTATCTCAAAAATGCTAATTTTTTTGCTTGTGTCTCACATTTCTATTAATGTACTAGAATAGATGTAATAATCTATTATAATAAGTATAGACTGCGCATTTTTATGTAGTTATAAGTAATCGTCGGTTTAGAAAGAGAGAGGTAAAGCTTGAAGTCTCTCTCTCTCTCTCTCTCTCTCTCTCTCTCTCTCTCTCTCTCTCTCTCAAATATTGAATAGAAGAGAGATGCTGATAGAGTTGAAAAGAAATGCTGATTCATTTCTTTCTAACGATTCACAGGTGCTAAGATCAGGGAATGCGCAGTATATATGTTACATCTATTACGTCTATGCAACGTAACGATATATCTTCAAAATTACTAATTTTTTTGTTTGCTGTGAGACGTATTGTTATAATTAGTCACGTCCTTGAAAATTTCATCGTATCTCACAACAGATCCGATACGGTGGTTGGTTGAATTGTCTGATCGCCGTCACACCAATTACATCTGTACAATTACATCACAGCCGAGAGGATTTTCATGCGAGCGAGTCCAAGCCGGACACGAACTTCACTTGCGTGTGCCATCCGGAAGCGGGACTTTTTGATCGTAAATGCCGCTCCTCGAGAAAGTAGTCGGGAGAAACAAAGGGGATCTAGATGAAAAAAGGGTTGGGCTCGGCACAAAGCGAAATTCGAAAGCGCGATCTTAATTCGGACAGCGACCTTAATCGGTGAACCAAATTAAGAATTCACGCGGTGGCGTCGACGTTCCGCAAAAGTCGTCCCGTGGAGAAACTCCCATGACCTTCCTCATTAATATTAATGATCGCGGCTATTACATGCGTGACGCATACTATTTACAACATATAGGAACAACCCGCGGCCAATTAGGCCAACGTCAGGTGGGCGTACACGTAGAGAATCGCAGAACGAATCGTTTTAAAAAATGGTTCTTATATATTACTTCCAACACCACAATATACGCAAAATGCGAAGTGAAACTCTCGATGAATTATTCTCTTGTCATTACCATCTCGTATTAACGAGCGATATTTTATGAATCACCGTTTTTATAAACCGATGCCGGTGTATCCAGGCAGTTACGAAATGTGACGATTCGCTGTTCGATATACGTAACCTGTACCCGAGATTCGCGTGTATTAGTTCGTTGAAAAATAATGGTCGGTTCACCGTTCGTCGAAATAAACACCGTTCTCTGCTTACATACGTGCAAACAGCGTGACGGCCGTTACACTCGTGTTTTTGT